CCATTACAACCATGTCTCAATCTCTGTATCCCAGAGCCCTGTAGTTCCAAGGCTGTGCATACATCATTCTTTACCTCTTCCCCACTTAGCACATTCAAACATGCCTAATTGTTCTTCCATCTGCTTTGTTCTTCCATTCCCCTCTCCCTTCTTGTATATTGACCCCCTCCCCAGCACCCAAACTTTCCTGTGTCTAATCCCTGCCCGTGCTCCACCTTCCCCTCCCTCCCCTCACCCACCACCAACATCCCAGCAATCAGCAAAGAACAGGGGAACTTTTAAGCCAGAGATGAGGAGACGCTCCGAGGTGCACGCATTTTGATAAGGTATGGAGTGAGTTAGAGCCTGGTGTAAAACATGGGACATTCAGGGTTAAAGGACCAGCAGTTTTTTGTAGGTATGCTTAAGGCACTATTGAGGGCCAGAGGAACTCCTATTAAAGGTGCTCAGCTTGCTCAATTTTTAGACTTTGTACAAGATACCTGTCTCTGGTTCCCAAAGAAAGGGACTGTAAATTTGGATACCTGGGAAAAGGTTGGAAGGCAGGTGTGTGATTGGTATACTGCTGAAGGACCTGATAAGATACCACTTCATACATTTTCTCTCTGGAAGCTTATGTGTGATAGTTTAGATCCTCGGGCTAACTCTGAAAGGGTGGCCTGTAACTCACATCCTGAACTTGCAGAGCATTTGCAGCAGACAGTGCAGGGATGTAAAGAGCTACGGTCGCCAGAGTCATCGACACCGCAGAAGGAGGAGTTGGGAGAACAGGAAGCCTCCACTTGACCCCCAAACTGTTCCTTAAAGGAACAAAGGGATCCAGAAGCAGAGGGTTCCGACTCAGATTAGGAGAAAGAAATCAGAGATATGTGCCTCTCGGTTGACTATGACTTATCTCTGGCCAAGGGAACTGCTGCCAGCATGCAAAACTGAAAGTGCTGGGCTTAATGCCAAAAACAAGGGTGCTCTGCTTTGTCTCCAGTTCAAAAGGCCTTGAGAGACACAAGTTTGGCAGGGGAGGATATGAGGGTTTTTGACAAGGAGTCTATTTGGTACTAGAGAGGCCTGATCCTCAGAACCTGGGTAAATGCTCCAAGAACATCAGATCATCCCTTTCAAGACCCTGAAAGAACTTAAATCAGCAGTTTCTATGTGTGGACCTACCGCTCCTTTTACTTTAGGTCGGTTGGACACAATTGCAATTGAGGCCCTATGTCCATCAAACTGGCAGACTCTATCTAAGGTCTGCCTTTCACCAGGAGATTACCTTATGTACATAACAAGCTGGCATGAGTTTAGCTCTGAGCAAGAAGAAAGAAATTGAAACCATAATATTCCCATCACCTTGGGAATATTATGGGGATAGGAGATTATGCAGCAACAAACAACTCAGTAGCTACGTTTTACTGTTCAGACGTATCAGTAGATCAATATAGCTACACAAAGAGCTTGGAAAGAACTACCCACAAAGGGAGAAAAGTCTTTGGTCATATCTAGCATCAGACAAAGTCCTCAAGAGCCGTTTCAGGAGATTGTAGCTCGCTTGTTACAAGCAGTGGGACAGACTATCTCCAATTCCTAGGCCAGACAGCTGGGAGTGAAACAATTGGCTTTTGAAAATGCTAATAAGTATTGTAAGGTGGCCCTTTGGCCTCACAAGAAGAGGGCTAATTTACAAGAAATGATTAGGCTTTGTGCCAAAATTGGACCTTCTTACAAGCAGGGAGTGACACTGGCTACTGCCATGCAACAGGCCTTCCAAGGAAGGTGTGAACCCATATAGTCTAGGTCTGGTAAACAAGGTTTGGGATTTGAATCTGATCAGGATTTTCCTAGGGGCCTTGGTTGCTTCTCCTACCCAGGAAACAGCATCAAAGATCACTTGGCTGTCTGATGACCCAGTATGGGTAAACCAATGGCTCCTAACTAAGGAGAAATTGATTGCTGCTAAGGCCCTTATCAACGAGATGGATTAGCCAAATGGCAGCATCGGTAGACTCAAGTGTGGCAACAGTAGTGAGGTTGGCCCTGGATCGGGCTGTGTTTCGTTCTGCTGTGCGTAAGGTCACTATGGATTGGTACCGACTCAATGGCACCTAACAACAACAACAACAACAAGGCCCTAGTCCTAGGACAATTGAATGCAGGGCATATAAAGCCCACCCATAGCCCTTGGAATTCACTAATATTCCTTATTAAAAAGAAATCAGGAAAATGGCGATTGCTGCAGGACCTTAGGGCTGTGAATAAGACCATGGAGATTATGGGATCTCTTCAACCTGGCCTCCCAAATCCTACAGCTATTCTCTTTACATATCAGATGATTGTTACAAATCTTAAAGAGTGCATCTTTACAATCCCTTTGCATCCAGATGATAGAAAAACATATGTCTTCAGTGTCCCAACTGTTACTAATAGGGAGCCTCATTTGAGATTTCACTGGAAGTGTTTGCCCCAAGTTATGGCTAATAGTCCTTGTGTCAGGAATTTGTTGCTTCTGCAATTGCTCCAATAAGAGACAAGTATCCTGAGGCCTACGTGATCCATTACATGGATGACATTCTTTTGGGCCACCCTCTGGAAGGCACTTTACTGTTAATTTTTGGGGATATGCAATTAACTCTAGAGCAAGCAGTACTGTGCATTGCCCCCAAAAAGGTACAAAAAAAGTCACCTTTTTAGTATCTTGGCAGCATTATAGAAGGCAGGATTATTTAGCCACAAGCAGTTGCTATAAGATGGGATGTCCTGAATACATTTGGACTAATTGTTTCCTTATGTCTTTGATTATCTTCACACTTTTTTTGCTCTAGATGGGGACAAACCAATTGTTGTGCCTTAAATGGAAGACATGGACATTAAGTCAACAACAGGTCTCGCTGATTGGGTGGAAGGCAAGGACACTTCTGGAAGAGGCTGGAAGGAGAGAAAGTGGACACTGCAAATGAACAGGGTTTTTGCCTTGCTGTTAACAAGAACAGGACAAAGACTGGAGGGCAAAGTGGAGCCTGGGAGATTGGTGTGGGGTTGCAAGATGGGTTTGCAGCTGAAGAGACAGATGCAGTAGATATTAACAGGGCAGAAAAGACAGTCCTGAGGAAGTAGGAGGTGACAGGGACAGATGCCCATGGTACAAGATTTAAGGAAGCATTCACTCTGGGTCACTTGCATGACTCTGAGAGTGAGTGCCTCTTTTGACTTTGTGTCCTAGGCTCTCCCTTGCTTCACCCTAGTCCCAGTCCTGGTGGGCCCATGCAGAGCTAGGAGCATGACTGAGGTGCAGATAGTAGCTGCAGGGAGTTGGAAACTTGGCCATGCAGGGGCTGGAAGCTCTTCCTGATAGCACCTAAACTCAAAAGAGTGGGAATAGAGGAAATCCTGGTGTCCTGATGTAGGTGTTGAAGGCCCTAAAAAGAAGGCTTGGTGGAGAGCCTGCAGGAGCCGGGAGCAGATATGGCAGAGTGGCATGTGCCCTGGGAGGCACTTGAAGGGCTGGGAGTGTCACCAATGAGCAATGTTAGTTCTCCATAGCAGTCTCCATAGCCAGCTGTGACAGATGATTCAGCACTTTAAAACAAATTGCCATAGGCACTGTTTTCTGTAGCTACACCTCAGGACAGGACCTAAAATCTTTACAGAATAAACAAAGTGGAACACTGAGACTCGGACTGAAGCCAGCGAGGAGTGAAGGTCAGTGTAGGTCCAGAGACAACAGTAAAGAACACATCGGCCCTTTGTCTGCTCCCAGGACTGTGGGCCAAGGTTTAGGAAGAGAAAACCACCCCATCAGGAAGACTGCCAAGGAGAATTCAAGAAAGAAGCTGCAATGATTATTTTTGGCAGGAGGGAGGCTCAGTCCTAAGGCTTTTCTCTCCAGAGCTAGGTGCTATCTGAAACCCTGGGAGAGGGTCTGGCATTTTGACTTGGTGTGACTCTCACTCTGTCCTTTCTTAAGGCAGCATTTGCAGCTGTTTGAATCAGCAAATGTTTTCCAGCTCTCCTAGAACCTATGCTATGTCTGCAGCCTCCTACTGGGATTGACAACCATCTATGTTCTTGATACCGATGCTCAGAAGTGAGGTGTATCCTCCTTTGTACTGCTTAAGTGCTGTAGAATCCATTCCGACCCATAGCGATCTTGTATAGGGTTTCTGAGGAGCAACTGGTGAACTTGAACCACCAACTTTGCAGTTCAAAGCGATTTTGCAGTCAGCACATTAACCCACAGCACCATACCAGGACTCCTACTATCTCCTTTGTAGTTGTTCATTGTAAGTGCCATCAAGTTGGCTCTGACCCATAGCATCTCTGTATAGGGTTTACAAGGAGCTGCTGGTGAGCTTGAACCTCCAACCCTGCAGTTCAAATAGCTTTGCAGTCTGGCGTATTAATCCACAGTGCCACACCAGGACTCCTTCCTTTGTAGTAGGGAGTCCTTAAGACACCAAGAGACAGAAACTCAGACATACCCCTGTCCTGAGGCAAAACAGGTTTACATCCAGCTCTGGATTGGGATCTCATATATTTATACATATAACCTCACTTTAACCCTGTGAAGTGGGTCCTCTAAGCAGCAGTGTTTTTACAATGCAGAGAGTAGACCCAGAGCTGTGCACACTCACTTGGAGGAGTCAGATTTAACCCCAGAGATCTGGCTCTTGAGTCATGCTTTCTGGATTCAGGAGGGGATTGTTGGTTGTTAATATGAATCGTCCTGTCTGCCCACCCAATCCTCAGAAACTCTCAGAGGCCAGAGGGCAGTGCCCTGGTTCTGGTACATCATTTGAAGGTCTTCCCGTCTCAAGTCTTTTGGCCCATTGGCAACCCCTGGCTGAGGTTGGTGATACAGGCATTTTGTGGTGAGTGCACAGGGTCTCATGGAAGTTACAGAGCCAGAAGAACTGGGATCTGAACCGAGAGCTGCAGAGCTCCAAGACCAGACTCCTTCCTGGCCTCTGCAGGGCACTCCCCATCTCCTGACTACCTCCTGAATCGCCTAGCACAGACCTGGGCCTGGGGCTGGGCTCCAGCCAGGTAGGTGGGCCACGCTTTCATAATTCCTTCAGCTCAGTGGGGCTAAAGGGCAGGGATCTCACTGTACCCACCACTTCGGTGCATGGTCAACTGGGAACAAGGCACACAGAGATGGTGTCAAGAGCTGGGTGGAGGGTTCAGGTCTGGGTGGCCTGCCTGCTCCTGGCATTCCCTGCCATGGCTACTGGTAAGACTCTCATGCTGGGCCTTCAGGGTAGGAGTTTCTGTGTGGTGGGAGGATTTAGAGGAATGGGTCAGGAGAAGGACAGGGACAGGGAGGGGCGGGCAGTCTGTTCAGAGAAGGATGCCTCAATTGGGAAGGATATCAGGCATGGTACATCTTTTGGGTGGGAGCTTTGGTCTCAGCAGCTTGCTTGTACCCCAGAGTTGCTCAGCCAGTATTGTTCCTATCTAAATGATATCAAGTTAATCTGATTCATAGTGACCGCATAGACAGAGTGGAACTGCTGTCTCTTGGGTTTTCAAGACTATAAATCTTTACAGGAGCAGTCAGCCCCATCTTTCTCACATGGAACATCTGTGGAGTGGTGTGTGAACCAATTAGCTAACTAGTGGTTAGCAGCCCAAGGCTTAGCCCATTGTGCCAATAGGGTTGTTCTCTAGCAGATGAACAATTTGAGGTTCAGATAAGGCAAGTGGCTGACCCATAAGCCACAAAGCAAGTCCGTGGGTACCCAGAGAGCCTGTACCTAAATTTCACCTGGAGGGCAGTGGCAGTGATGGCCAGCCAGGGAGGAGGAAGATCAGGATGATAATGGGACTCTTCTCATGGGACTGCAGGGCAGATGAAGAGAATCATGCCTGACACAATAGGCACTCAGGGAGTGAGCCTTGAATTGATGGAAAACCTCCTTCCTTCGTGAGTACATCTGCCACCCCCAGGCCTGGAGGAGGCTGCAGACTCCTTCCCAACTCCTCTTCTCTCCCATCAGAACACAGAGTCTCTCAGCCTGAAGTGGACACAGCTCTGGGTCGTGTGCGAGGCCGGCAGGTGGAGGTGAAGGGTACAGCCCACCGAGTGAATGTCTTTCTAGGCATCCCATTTGCCCAGGCACCACTGGGGCCTGGCCGGTTCTCAGCTCCGCAGCCAGCACAGTCCTGGGAGGGTGTGCGGGATGTCAGCACAGCCCCTCCCATGTAAGTAGCCTGGTAGATATGGGTAAGCAGACTGACTGGCGTGGGGCCCTCTCCTGGGGCTGACCAGCTGGCACTTGGGTTTCTACTCTGGCCACAGGTGCCTGCAGAACAAAGAAAGAATGGACAGCTTCAGGTTTTTGCTGAACGGGAAGCACCAGATGTTCTCCATTTCCAAAGACTGCCTGATCCTCAACATCTACAGTCCAGATGGACCCACTGCAGGGACTAGGAGGCCTGTACATAGCCCTGAGAGCCCTGTCCCTCCCATGTAGCGCTGTCTCCCAGCCTGTCCCCTCTCCACTCTCCATCCCTGTCCCCTACCTGCCCCAGAGCTCCTGACCTTGTCCTGGCTTTGCTGTTGTTGTTATGTGCCGTGGAGTCAGTTCCAAAGCATAGTGATCCTGTACAGGGTTTCCGAGACTGTAAATTTTTATGGGAGCAGAAAGCCTCATCTTTCTCCCACAGAACAGCTGGTAGACTTGAACTGCTGACCCTGAAGTTAGCAGTCTGATTCATAACCACTACACTACCAAGGCTCCTTTTGCTGGCTCGGGGATGGCAAAATGGGACCCCAGGACCTGAGATCAGTCCCACGGCCATCTCTGTAGGTCATGGTGTGGATTCATGGGGGCTCAATGATGGTTGGTGCTGCCACCTCTCACGACAGGTCAGCCTTGGCAGCCTTCGGGGACGTGGTGGTGGTCACAATCCAGTACCGCCTTGGTTTCCTTGGCTTCCTCAGGTAAGAGGCAGCCCTGGAGGAGACATGGACTGATCTCAGGAGAGGTGGGGGCCAGAGACTGATTGGGAATCTCTCAGGTGGGGACGGTGGACTTAGGGTCTTCTCTCTCTGCAGCATGGACAAGGAAGGGTACTCTCTGAGGCCCCACTCTGGGGAAGAAGGCCAGTCAAAGCCAGAGTTGATAATGACTTTGTCTCTTGGGCAGAGGGTTTGGGCTCCTGGACTGGGTCACGAACCCAGTGTGGTGTGGGGTATAGAGAGCAGCTCCGGAAACCACCAAAGAGCTAGTCTTGGCTGTCTGTCCAGCCAGGCCTGCCCATACCACATGGGAGCATTTGCATGCCTATGCTCAGAGTCAGACCAGACAGTGGGCGCAGAGGAGGAACCAGTGTCCTGGTGCTGGTCTAAAGCAAGCCTGCAAAAGGCCAAAGAAAACCCTGTACAAAAATGAACTCAACATAAATTAAAGATCTAAATGTGAATCCTAAAATTATGAAGATCATCAATGAAAAAATAGGGATGAACGTGAGGGTGCTAATTCAGGGAATATACAGACTGCCACACATTTTGAAAAATACACAAACAAAAATAGACAAGTGGGACATACTAAAAATTAAAAACTTGTGTGCATCAAAAGACTTCACCAAGAGAGTAAAAAGGGAACCCACAGACTGGGAAAAAATCTTCTGCAACGATATATCAGATAAGGGACTCATCTCTAAAATATATAGGAAATTACTATACATCTACAAAAACAAGACAAATAACCCAATCAAAAAATGGGCACAGGATACAAACAGACACTTCACCAGGAAGGAGATCCAGGCAGCCAACAAACATATGAAGAAATGTTCACTATCACTAGCCATTAGAGAGATGCAAATCAAAACAATGATATACCATCTCACACCAGCAATAACAGCAAAGATCAAAAAAGT